CAGCTTTTTTTTTTCTTTTTGCTTATGTGGTGCTGAGGAATCGAACCCAGGGCCTCATGCATGCAAGGCAAGCACTCTACCACTGAGCCACCTTCCTAGCCCCCTCTGCAGCCCTTTTAACTGACTTAACTTCAAGAGGAACTTTGACCTTCCAACCTCCAGATAAGCGAGCTGCTTCAGGATTTTCTAATGCATGTTTGTGTCTTCATAGGATAGTGAGCTGTGATTGTTTATGGGGATGTCAGTCTTTCTGACTAAATTAATCTCCATTTTATTTTTCTCATTGCGTAGCCATTCCACAGATTTTGAAGTACACCGAAACTGGCTTGCTATCACTCACAGTTTGCCAATATCCCAGTGGTATTATGAGGTAAGTTAAATTTTTTTTAATTTTTATTTTATTTAAATTTGGCGGGGGGGGGGGCTGGGAAGGTGGCTCAGTGATAGAGTGCTTGCCCTGCACGCATGAAGCCCTGGGTTCAATTATTCAGCACCACATAAGCAGAAAAAGCCAGAAGTGGCGCTGTGGCTCAAGTGGTAGAGCGCTAGCCTTGAGCTAAAGAGCTGAGGGACAGTGCCCAGGCCCAGAGTTCAGGCCCATGACCGACAAAACAAAACAAAACTTTTTTTGGTACTAAGGTTTGTACCTTGTGCTTGCTAAGCAGGTGCTTCATCACTTGAACTGTGCCCCTTAGCCCTTTTTTGCTTTAGGCTTTTTTTTTTAATGGTCCTGGGGCTTGAACTCAGAACCTGGGCACTGTTCCTGAGCCTCTTTGTGCTCAAGATTAGCACTTGAGCCACAGCACCACTTCTGGCTTTTTTGAGTAGTTTATTGGAGATAAGAGTCTCACAGGGACTTTTCTGCCTAGGCTAGCTTTGAAGTGTGACCCTCAGATCTCAGCCTCCTTAGTAGGATTACAGGCATGAGTCACTTGTGCCCAGCTTTTAGTTATTTTTTAGGTAAGGTTTTGCTTTGAATTTTTGTTTTTGTTTTTTAGCCTCACACCCACCTTGTTTCTTTAGGCCAGCTGGAATTATGATCCTCCTATATAAGCTTTCCTCATAGCTGGGATGACAAGGGCAAACCACCAACTCCAGTTTTTATTGGTTGAGATTGAGGTCTAGCTAAATTTTTGCTTGATCTGGCCTTCTAGATTGATGCTTTCCTAGTAGCTGGGATTATAGGTATGAACCACTGAGTTTAGCTCCATTCCCAAATTATAAAAATATGTGTCAAAATTCAGAAAATCATCTAGATTTCTGAAAACTAAATGGCACTTGTTTTTTTGTTTGTGTCAATCATGGGGTTTGAACTTTGGGCTGGGTGTTGTCCCTGAGCTGTTCAGCTCAAGACGAGTATTCTACAACTTAAGCCATAGTGCCACTTCTGATTTTCTGGTGGTTAATTGGAGATAAGAATCCCATGGACTTTTCCTGCCCAAGCTGGCTTTGAACTGTGATCCTCAGATCTCAGCCTCCTGAGTAGCTGGGATTACAGATGTGAACCATTGGCACCTGGCTAATAAATGGCACTTTAAGGGTAGAGTGCTCTCTGACATTTAAAATTGTAACTAGAAACTGCAAATGTTAATGAAATCTAAATTGACAATTAGATGTATTAAAATTACATAAACAGTAATTTTGAAACTTTTTATTTTTCATAACCCTAACAGGAAATCATACATCCATTTGTATTATAAAGGCTCTGCTCCATTAATGAACCACTAAAATGGAAATTTCATATTTTTAAATCAGTATTGATGTTTTTTATCCTAAATTTATCAATGAATTTGAGTGTGTGTGTGTGTGTGTGTGTGTGTGTGTGTGTGTGTGTGTGTGTGTGTGTGTGTGATGGTCCTGAGCTCAAATTCAGGGCCTGGGTGCTATCCTTGAGCTTTTTTTTTTTTTGCTGAAAACTAGCACTCTCATCACTTGAGCCACAGCTCCACTTCCAGCTTTTTGGTGATTAATTGGTGATAAGAGTCTCGGGGACGGTGGCTTTGAAACATAATCCTCATATCTCAGCCTCCTGAGTAAGCTAGGATTACAGGTGTGAGCCACCAGCACCTGATTTAGTATCTTTTTTTTTTTTAATGGTGGTATAGGGGCTTGAACCCAGGATCTCACACTTGATTGGTTGGTACATTATCATTGAACCTCATATCCATCTGGCTTTCTGCTTATTATTTTGGAGGTGAAGTCTAGGAAATTTTTTTGCCTGGCCTTAAACAATTATCCTCCAGATCTCAGTGTCTTGAGTAGTTAGGATTGCAAGCATGAGCCATAGTCATCACTGTCTTTTTTATAAACATATGTCAACTGTATAAAAGAAGAACTAGGCACTGGTGGCTCATGCCTATCATCCTATCTATTCAGAAGGCTAAGACTTGAGAATCCCAGTTTCAAGGCAGCTGGGAAAGATTCTTATCTCCAGTTAACCAGCAAAAAGCTGTAATTGGAGGTGTGGCTCAAATGATAGAGTGGCAGCAATAAGCAACAAAGCCAAGCCAGAGGGCAAGGCCCTGCATTCAAGCCTCAGTACCATCACACAATTAATTAATTAATTAAAGTAGTAATGTTAAAATGTTGATAATAAAAAAGGTAATTTTTAACTTCTCTTTCCACAGTTCATTGTTCTGTTTTGTTGGCAATTTGGGGTTAGAGAAGGAATTTCTCAAAGTGTAGAACTTAGTAAGTCAATTCATAACCTCAGTGCTCTGACAAGGGCCTCTGGGTTTGCCTCATATGAGGCTTCTGTTACTTACACTGCAGGGAGAGTAAATTCATCCTCATAAACAGAAGATTGGGCTAAGAATATAAGTGAGTGTCAGAGCACTTGCTTAGAATGTATAAAGCCCTGAGTTCTTTCCCCAGCATTGCAAAAAAGAAATAAATAAAATGAACAGAGAGCTAACAAGTATTTTTCCTAAGTCTTTTTCACCTCTCTTTATTTTTTTAATCACTGAGAGACCCTGTGATTAAACCTCTAGTATACCTGTAGAGGAAGATTTTTTTACTCTAGAGTAAAAACTGCAAAGTAGGCACATTATACTGGTGTCAGTTTTTGTAGGTTCAAGGCCTGTCTTTAATTTTTCAGGCATTCCACAGTGAGAGAAGTGTGTGTGTATGTGTGTATGTGTGTGTGAAGACAAGGTCTTGCAACATAGTCCAGGCTGCTCTCAAACTCCAGCTTCCCAAGCAGGAGACCAGCCTTCTGCCTCAACTTCTCAAATGTGTGGCTTATATGCATGGTGTTCTGAACTTTTTTACATAGGACATTAAAGACCAGGTAATGAAATTTTTTTATATGACGAATTGTTTATTCTCAATTTTAATACACTTTATTTTTTGAATTTATTGTCCAATTTGATTTCATTCAATGCTAAAGAAAATATAATTCCAAAAGAAAGGAAATAGGGATAGATATTCAGAATCAGGAAAGTAAATGAGAGCTTTAGCCTCAAGAAAAGACCTTCCATATTTTAAGAGCTTTGCTATTTTTACCAGGACTAATAGATTAATCAGCAGATTGAGAATTTAACCTACAAGGAAAAATGCCTACTTCAGTCTCCATATGCTATCAGTTTTTCAAATTAGCTTGCAATAACATTGATTTCATCCACTGAATGTTTCCTAACTATAAACATTTAAAGACTCTAGAAAAATGAACATTTTTAATTGTTTATTTTGTTATTTATGATGTATTTTTCCTTTGATTTTTATCCAGTCAACTTCAGAGTGGACCTTGGATTATCCTCCCTTTTTTGCTTGGTTTGAGTATGTCCTGTCACATGTTGCCAAATATTTTGATGAAGAGATGCTTAATGTATCTAATCTGAACTACTTCAACTCAAGGACCTTACTCTTCCAGAGATTTTCTGTCATCTTTACAGATGCACTCTTTGTGTATGCTGTTCACGAGTAAGTCCAGAAAGTATCTGTGGAGATATTTGTTTGTATGGAGGGGACTGAAGAAGCATAGTATCTAGTACTGACTTATTCCCAACTTAGAGGAACCAAATTCATATTATTGCAAATGCTACAATGAAAAACTGAGTTGTATCTTAAACCATGAATATTTACAGTGAGCAGTTCTGGCAGAGTCTTGTGGAACAAATAGGCATAAGGAGAAGTTTCAGAGATCTTCAAAGAGATTGTGAATGTTCTATAAAAAAGTAGTTTTTCTCACCAGAGTATCTCCACATGCTTTTCTTTCCCTCCTTGTGGAAAGCCCCTTCAGGAGCTTCTGTGATCTGCCCTGTTGTTTGGGACCCACACATGCATGTAGTACATGCAAACTTGTACATGTGTCCATGGTGCTAACCACCAAAGTCTGTTCTTAATAGAACTTGGGAGATCTTGCCGAATGCTTTTTGTTGTTTCTGGATTCTTTATGAAGATTCTTCTTTTTTTTTTTTTTAAGTTTGAACCTTTCTTTTATTTTTATTTTTTATTTTTGCTAGTCATGGGGCTTGCACTCAGGGCCTAGGCACTGTCCCTGAGCTTCTTTTTTTTTTTTTTGTCAGTCCTGGGGCTTGAACTCGGCTTAGGGCTGTCCCTGCACTCTTCAGCTCAAGGCGAGCGCTCTACTGCTTGAGCCACAGCACCACTTCCAGTTTTCTGGTGGTTAACTGGAGATGAGTCTCATGGACTTTACTGCCTGGGCTGGCTTTGAACCGTGATCCTCAGATCTCAGCCTTCTGAGTAGCTAGGATTACAGGTGTGAGCTACCGGCACCCAGCTTTTTTTTTTTTTCCCCCAGTCCTGGGGCTTGAACTCTTAGGGCCTGGGTACTGTCCCTGAACTTTTACTCAAGGTTGGCTCTCTACCACTTGAGTCACAGCACCACTTCTGGCTTTTTCTGTTTATATGGTACTGAGGAATGGAACCCAGGACTCCATGAATGGTAGACAAGCACTCTACCACTAAGCCACATTCCCATCCTCATGAAGATTCTTATTTTAACTGTGTTCCTTTTTTAAAATTTTTAATGGTTATTTTTCCTTTTATTTTATTAATTTTATTTATTTATTGTTTATGTGGTACCAAGGAATCAAACCCCGGGCCTCATGCATGCTAGTCAAGCACTCAACCACTAAGCCACATTCCCTGCCCTTAACTATGTTTGTATCATATTTATTTTTTTAGTTTTTTAAAATTATATTTTATTAGCATACATTAGGTATATAAAAGGGGTTTTATTGTGACATTTCCATCCATGCATACAGTGTATTTCAATTAAGTTAACACCTCTATTAGTCTCCCTTATCTCCCTTCCCTCTTAAAACAATTTCAACAGGTTTCATGTTCTGTTTACATATGCATACAAACTACTTCAGCCATTATCATCCGCATTCACTTGCTCCTGCTAATACCATTTTAGGTTTTGCATCTTGTACTTATAACTTAACTTTTAAGCAGCTAAAAACACAGGTGTCATTTGGGTACAACTCACGCCTGTAATTTCAGCTATTCAGAAGGCTAAGATCTGAGGGTCAAAATTTGAAGCCAGCAAAGACAGAGAAATCCCTGTGAGACTTACTTCCAATTAACTGCCCAAAAACTGGAAGTGGAGCTGTGACTCAAAGTGATAGAGCACTGGTTTTGAGCAGAAGAGCCAAGGGACAGTCCCCAGGCCCTGAGTTCAAGCCCCACAACTACCAAAAGAAAACAAATAAAATACATGTCTTGTACATTGACTTCCAGATAATGTTTTTAGTTAATATTGGCTTCTGTTTGATCATAGTACTTAAGGTCATGGGTGTGATTTTTGACAGCAGTGACTGTCCCTTCAGTGACCCTTGTCATAAATATATCATTTCTATTTGTGAGGCCCTCTGGACTCAACCCTTGTCCAAGTCAGGAAATAGTCCCTTGGGAATGTTTTAACCCTGCTTGTTCTTATTGAGTAACTTGTGTTTAACTGCACAACTTTCAATGTTTATGACCTTGCCATAGTTGGAAAAGAAAGTGCTTTGTAGTATAGTCCTTTCAAATAAAAATGTTTTTGGGTTCAGACTCTCCAGTAGACAGACAGACAGGCAGGAATTTATTTTCATCAGCAAAGTAGAGGAAGCAGTTAAATGAAATGGTTAAAATCTGGGTACTGGTTCCCCAAACTAGACAATGTGTTCAGATTTGTTTTTACTTATTTATCTATATTTACTATATTTACTTTTTGTACAGTACTAAAAATTGAACCCAGAGTTTTGAGCTTGTTAGTCAAGTACTCCACAACCTGAGCCCTACCCCTGGTCCTTTTGCTTTTAGTAAGCTTTTCAGATGGGGTATCATGCTTTTGCTTGGGCTAGCCTCAGACTGTTTCACCTACCAAGTAACTGAGTTACAGGAATGTGCCACCCAGCTAGATTATTAATTTGTTTAGTTTTCTTAATTATTCTGTAAAGTTATTCATTTTTTAGAAAACTGAATGTGGCTGGGAAGGTGGCTCAGTGGTAGAGCACTTGCCTTGCATGCATGAGGCCCTGGGTTCGATTCCTCAGCACCACATAAGCAAAAAGAAAAAAGCCGGAAGTGGCGCTGTGGCTCAAGTGGTAGAGTGCTACCCTTGAGCTGAAGAACTGAGGGATAGAGCCCAGGCCCAGAGTTCAGGCCCCACGACCAGACCTCAAAAAAAAAAAAAAGAAAACTGAAGTTTCCTGAGACCACCTTTTCTAGTCCCTCTTTAATTGCTTTTATTATTCATACTATAACAGTCTCATAGCCAGGCGCTGGTGGCTCACGCCTATAATCTTAGCTACTCAGGAGGCTGAGATCTGAGGATTGCAGTTCAAAGCCAGCTCTGCCAGGAAAATCTATGAGATGCTTATCTCCAATAAACCACTAGAAAACCAGAAGTGGTGCTGTGGCTCAAGTGGTAGCGCACTAGTCTTGAGCTGAAGAGCTGAGGGACAGCACCCAGGCCCAGAGTTCAAGCCCCATGACTGACCAAAAAAAGTCTCACAAATTTCCTGCCTGGGCTGGCTTTGAACCATAATCCTCAGATCTCAACCCTCCTAACTAGCTAGGATTACAGGTGTGAGCCACTAGCACCTGGATTTCCATGAACTCTTATCATCAATAAATTACCAAAAAGCCAGAAATGGAGCTGTGGCTCAAGTGGTAGAGCACTACCCTTGAGCAAAAAAAAAACAACTAAGATAGCACTCAGGCCCTGAATTCAAGCCCCAAGATAGGCACACATATACACACACACAAAATACTTGCTCTTTTATAATCATCACCACTAACATTTTGGTGCATATTACACTAGAGTATTTTGAAACATACTTAGTATAAAATAAAAATGGGATTCTTTTGTCCTTTCACCTATTGCTGTCACTGTCTCAGCAGTAACATACTTTTTTATATGGCTTGTTCTTAATTTGGCCAATATGCTCTCTAGTTCAGATACTAAACGCCTTGGTCCTCATTTTTCACTACCCTTCTTTTTTGTGGGGGAGAGGGCTGGAATTGAACACAAGGCCTTGGTAAGCATGCACTCTACTATGACCTATACCCCTGCTCCTGCATTTGGGGTGGGAGTGGGGAGGTCATAGGGCTTTAACTCAGGGTCTCCGTGTTGTCCCTGAGCTTATGAGCCACCAGGGCCTGGCTGCATTTTTACTCTTAAGAACTGAAATAATGTGTATCTTCTTGATTTTTTAAAAATCTTTATTTTTGATTTTTTTTCTTAATTTTTTTTGTTTTATTAAATATACTCTGAGATCATCTCTTAGCTTCCAGTTTTTCTAGCATAGACAGTTTGTCAAGAATGGTTCCCAAAATGGCCCATAGTGTACTCCACAGAAAGCACTGTTGTATTCTAGTGAAGATGAAGTTGTGTCTGTTTATTTTCTGATGTGTCAATATAGGTGCTGTAAGTGCATTAATGGAAAAAGAGCAAGTAAAGAACTTACGGAGAAGCCGAAGTTTATTCTGTCAGTGTTACTGCTATGGAACTTCGGGTTGTTAATTGTGGACCGTATCCTTGATAGTCTGTGTACTAGTCCCCTACTTATTCTGCTGTACTTTAATAATTAACTTTTTATAGTGATGATTATCAAATGTAAGCTGCTTTAGAAAATAGGCTACTGGGCTCCTATCACCTTGCTTTCTGCACAGGTTTACCGGACTCTGGTTGTTAGGATATTTTGTTCCTGGAAAGTTAATGGTAACATGTAAGAATCAGTTAAATTTTCTGTACTATATGTGTGCATATTGCAATTTGTTGCTTGTCTTTAGATTTATCTAACAAATGTTATAACACATTGTTCTAAATACCTTTCATAGGAAAGACATAGTGTACTTATGGGAACATTCAGGACTTCATGTTTTGCCACTATCTCAGCTTACCATATATTAATGAAGTTCTTAAACACAAAGGGTCTGAATGTAATAAAAATCCTAATGAAAGAAGCCTAATATTTTTCAGTCTCCATAAAAGTAACTAGTGTGGAGGAAAACACTCAGGTTTTGTTTCAGTCTGATCTGACTGTAGTCTTAGTTATGTTGTCATACAGTTTAGTAAATTAACGTCTCTGAGCCTTATTTTATTTATCTGTAGAAAGTATGATTCTAACAACCTCACAGATATTGTGATGCTTAATAATGAGATCATGTAGCCAGGTACTGGTGGCTCAGGCCTGAAATCTTAGCTACTTAGGAGGCTAAGATCTGAGGATTGTGGTTCATAGCTAGCCCATTCAGGAAAAATCTAGAAGTGGAGCTGTAGGTCAAGGGTTAGAGTGCTGGCCTTAAGCAATGGAAGCTCTGGGACAGCCTCCAGGCCCTGAGTTCAAGCCACAGGAACCCCCCCCCCAAAAAAAAAATTATCTGTGCTGCAAACAATAGAACAGCCAGTTGTAATAGTATATGCTTGTAATCCTAGTACTTGGGAGGCTAAAACAAGAGGATAGTGAGTTTGAGGCTAGCCTAAATTGCATAGAGAAATCATGTTTCAAAAAACAAAAGAACAAATGGGAGTCCTGCTCATTGACTTTCGGTGGCTGTGGGGTCCCTTCCCTCTTCATCCCTAATTCTAAAAAAAAACAAAACTTCTTGGCTCTTAGCTGCCTGGGCCCTTAAGGTAGGAAAACACATGGAAACATTATTTGCTTTTCTTCTTAAACAAATTCTAATTCTAGGATTTGACTCTTTATAGAAAATGTTTATGGGAAGCCAAATTAATAGTAATATTTTGTCTAATTTTAGCATATTAAGAAGGCATTTACATTTTCTATACTTAACTGACATAGTTCTTTTAGAATTTTTTATCCTCTTGTTTTTCCTTGACATTCCCCTAGATATCCATTTCCAGTACAATGGGTTTTTATTTGGATTAATGCTACTCTCCATTGCACGGTTGTTTCAGGTAAATACAAAGCACCTAATTCAATTTGAACCCTTTGATGTTTAACTTGTAAAGGCAACATTGCAGTGGGTGATGGATTACTTATTTGACCCACTGTTTAGTCTCTTAAGTTAAAGACACAGGGTATTCTCAAAAATTATGTCTTTTCTTTTGACAAGTTTTCTTCCTTTTACACATAAGAAAAATTATATTTGAAGAACTTAATAGAGTGTGGCAGGCCTGAATTAAGCTTGAGTTTTGTGTTTGGTGGGGGCTATTTCTGTAGGTGTAAATTTCTGGCAATTTTTATAGCATAGTACATCTGTTGGTGCTTTGCCATCAAATGCTGGTAGAGAAATAGAATGGGAAATAGAAAATAAGGAATCAGAAAAAGTTGGGTTAAAATCCTGACTAACACTGAGTCACTCAGTCAAGGGCTGCACACGTGTATTTGCTGAGTTGGAGTAATTGCATGGAATATCTTACTGAATAAACCTTATAAACAGTCTATGAAATTGTCTTAATAATTGCCATCCTTTTATAGAGGAGAAAATAAAAATTTCAGGTATCTGGGCCACTCCTCCTTAATCTGAATCAGAATCTCCTGGATTGGGGTTTAGGAATTTCCCAAGGGATTTTAATATCTCATGCAACAAGTTTGGAAGTCTTTGACCAAAGACAAGTCATTGGGAATGATTGTATATCATACATAAAATTTACTCCTGTATTCTTTTTTGTAATGCAAAACCTATCATAGATACTTTGGGAAGATCAAGTTTAATAATCTGTTTTAAAGTTCTTTATTAGCTATAGGGGCTCAAAGTATGGCTCAGTGGTAGAGGACTTGCCTAGCATGCCTGACACCATGGATTCAGTACCCCACACTGTAAACAAATAAATGAAAGTTTTTTTTGTTGACTAGAAATGTCTTGATAAACTTCTCTTAGCCCCAAAAAGCCACATAGTAGCCAAGTGTGATGGTGCATTTCTGTAATTCCAATAAGAAATAGGAGACTCATGAGGCAGGAGGATTATAAATTTAAGACTATATATAGTGAAATCTTGTTTCAAAAAAGAACACTGTGGAAAAAGTCACTTTGAACATAGAACATAATTGGTGTGTACCATGAATGATTGTTGGATGGTTCTCAAATAAGCAAATAAATTTGACTAGAGTCAGCTAGACCTGGTTAAGTTGTAAAATTGGAGAGAGATCTGGTTCCTTGTTATTCCTAACCATACCTATTCTAGACCACCCATGATGAGATAGTGAGGAAAGGAACTTGGCCTTTATAGGTCTTTGGCAGTTTCCCTCATGGACTATCAGGACCCTACCACATTTGAGCCTTCTAAAATTCCTTTGATATAGATAAAATTCAGGCTTTCTTAGTTTACTCTAGGGGGTTTTGTTTGCAGTTCTAGGATTTAAACTTGGGGCCTCAGCTTGCTAGGCAAGCACTCTACCAATTGTACAACACCCCAGCCCTTCTTTGCTTTAGTTTTTTTTTTAATAAGCTTTTTATTGTGAAAATACTGTACAGAGGGGTTACAATTACATGAGCTGAGCAAGGTAATGAGTACATTTCTTTTTCTTCCTTTTTTTTTTTTTTTTTTTTTGGTCTGGTCGTGGGGCCTGAACTCTGGGCCTGGGCGCTGTCCCTCAGCTCTTCAGCTCAAGGCTAGCGCTCTACCACTTGAGCCACAGCGCCACTTCCGGCTTTTTTCTTTTTGCTTATGTGGTACTGAGGAATCGAACCCAGGGCCTCAGGCATGCAAGGCAAGCGTTCTACCACTGAGCCACCTTCCCAGCCCGTGAGTACATTTCTTATCAAGTGTTGTTGCCTCCTCCTTTGTTTTTCCCTTACCATCCCTTCCCTACCATCTCTACAACTACACTCCCCCTCCCCCCAACCCCCAATTCCTATTTAAACTATTTGTTTTTTCCCTTCCCTGCTTTAGTTATTTTTCAGATAGGTTCTTGTATTTTTTATAGGACTCAGACCCTGATCCTTCTCCCTAAGCTTCCCATACATGGCTAGGAATGCCACAATCCAATTTACTTATCAAACGAGGTTTCACTAACTGTTTTATGTGCCAATGCTGGGACTTGAACTCTAGGGGCCTGGGCACTGTTCCTGAGCTTTTTCGCTCAAGGCTAGCACTTTGAGCCACAGTGCCACTTCCAGTTTTCTGGTAGTTAATTGGAGATAAAGAGTCTCACTGACTTTCCTGGCTTTGAATCTCAATCCTCCTATCTCAGCCTCCTGAGTAGCTAGAATTACAGGCGTGAGCCACTGGTGCCCTGCTTGACTCCCACCCCCCTGCTTGGTGGTGATTTAATGGGACATAATGAGTCTTACAGACTTTCCTGCCTGGGCTGGCTTCAAACTGCTGGCAATGTGGCTCAAGTGGTAGAGTGCCTGCCTAGATAGCTGAAGGCCTTGAGTACCCCAGGTCTACCTTTAAAAAAAAGGGGGGGGGTTGTATTTAGCATAACACCATGTAGAGACTCTGTGTGTGTGTGTATGTGTGGTGTGTATGTTGGTCCTAGGGCTTGAACTTAGGGCCTGGACACTGTCCCTGAGCTTTTGTACTCATGGCTAGTGTTCTACCACTTGATACACAGCTCCATTTCTGGCTTTTTGGTAATTCGTTGAAGATAAGAGTCTTACACACTTTTCTGCCTGTGCTGTCTTTGAACCACTATCCTCATCTCAACCTATGTAGTATTTCAGGCATGAACCACTAGCTTCCAGCCCTGTTTGAAAACAAGGTATAGGAGTAACTCAACTGCTCTGGCTGTTTCTAGTAGATCCTGTGTCTCAGCATTAGTGTTTTTTGTTTTGTTTTGTGCTGTTAGTAACTGAGCTTGAATTCAGGGTCTCAAGCTCTTACTTGGCTTTTTTACTCAAGGCTTGAGCCATACCTTCACTTCTGGCCTTTTTGCTGGTTAATTGAAGCCAGCTCAGGTTGTCAAACTGTGATCTCAGCCTACTGAGTAGCTATAATTATAGGCATGAGCCACTAGTACCTGGTTCAGCATCAGTTTTCATACTTAAGAATCATTTGTTGAAATAGTGAATGTGTGAGTCGACTAGACATAAGGTCAAACTGCCTTCATTATAGAAAATTTAAGGCGCTGGGAAGGTGGCTCAGTGGTAGAGCGCTTGCCTTGCATGCATGAGGCCTTGCGTTCAATTCCTCAGCACCACATAAAGCAGAAAAAGCCGCAAGTGGCTTTGTGGCTTAAGTGGTAGAACGCTAGCCTTGAGCTGAAGAGCTGAGGGACAGTGCTCAGGCCCAGAGTTCAGAAAAAAGAAAAGAAAATTTAAATCATATAGAAGGGAAGAGTAGTACAATGATCTACATGGAGGAGGAATATATTTATATAACATTAGCGTATTTCATTTGTGTTTTAGAATATATCTTCTAAAAAAAATAGATTCTACTTCAGGTGTGGTATTTCATGCCTATAGTCCTGTCACTAGGAAGGCTGAGACAAGAGGGGTTTTTTGTTTTGTTCTTTTGGTTTTTTGGGTTGGTCGTGGGGCTTGAACTCCACTTGGGTACTGTCCCTGCACTCTTCAGCTCAAGGTGAATGCTCTACCGCTTGAGTGGTTTATTGGAGATAAGAGTCTCACAGACTTTCCTGCCCAGGCTGGCTTTGAACCATGATCCTCAGATCTCAGCTTCCTGAGTAGCTAGGATTACAGGCGTGAGCCACCAGCACCCAGCTGACAAGAGGAGTTTTTGAGCCCAGAAATTCTAGGCCAGCCTAGACAACATAACAAGACCTCAACTTAAAAAAAAAAAAAAAAACTTTTCTTTTTTCTTCTTTCTTTTTGCTCTTTGATTTTGAGACAGAATCTTATTGCATGGTTTAAGCTGTCCTCAAACTTGAAATTCTCCTCACTCAGCCTTCTAAGTCATTTTCTATTTTCTATTCATTGTTTTTTAGAATAACTTTAGCTTTATGGGAATGTTGCAAAAGTAGTTCAGAGTTGGAGTTCTTGAATCCCTTATTCATTTTCCCCTAAGGGTACCATATTACATAACTGGGCATTCAAGATTAAGAAACCAACCCCGGTTTATGTTCATTTTGCCAGCTTTTTAACTAATGTTCTTTTTCTGTTTCAGAGTCCAATTCAGAATACTTCATAATTGCATTTCATTTACTTTGAATTTTAAAGCACTGTTCCCCTTCTCACTGTCCTAGAAAAGGCATATGGAAGGAGCATTTCTCTTTGCCACCCTTCTCCACTTCAAGCACATCTACCTCTATGTAGCACCGGCCTATGGTGTATATCTGCTGCGATCTTACTGTTTCATTTCAAGCAAACCAGGCGAGTGTCAGTGATGATAGAAAAATCTTTTTTTTTTCCTTCGTTCACTGTATTGACTTAGTGGCTTAGAGTATTATGAAGCACAGCATGTACCTCTCAGTTTTAGACCCTGTAAACCCTCTACCATCCTGACTTCTCTGCTCTTTCCATATGGTCTAATGTACAGCTGGGTGGAATGGCATATAATCCCATCTTTCAAGGGGCTAGAGCAGAAAGATCTTGAATTTGAGGCCAGTCTGGGCTGTATATAAGCCACTATCAAAAAATGAGGAAGATCAGTGTCCTGTTGGGGGTATCTTGTAGTTACTATTAGGGGACACTTGTCCATGCCCTTGATAATGACAGTGTTCCCTTTCTGCAGATGGCTCTGTCCAGTGGAACAGTTTCAGTTTTGTCCGTGTTTTTTCCCTGGGACTGATTGTCTTCCTAGTGTCTGCTCTTTCATTGGGTCCTTTCCTAGCTTTGGTAAGTTTATTATTATTATTAGTAGTAGTAGTAGTTATTAGTATTAGTAGTAGTATTGGTTTATATTGTAGGGGGAGGGGTTATTGTTATATCTCTACACATGTTTATATTATTCTAATCAATTTCATCCCCTCCCCTTAAACATAGCATCCCCAACAAGTTTCTTTATTCCATTTTCATGGTTGCAAATAATTTAGTTTGACAATATTCAACCTCTTTTATCCTCCCCACAAGCACAATACCGTCTAGCCTTTTTCTTTCTTTCTTCTTATTTTTTTTAAAAACAAAGCAATATACCATGTACTAGTGGCTCATGCCTGTAAATCCTAACTTCTCAGAAGGCTGAGATCTGAGAATCGCAGTTCAAAGCCAGACTGGGCAGGAAACTGTGTGAGACTTCTATATCCAATTAACCCCCAGAAAACTGGAAGTGGCACTGTGGCTCAAAGTGGTAGAGTGCTAGCCTTGAGCAAAAGAGCTCAGGGTTAGCACTCAGGCCCTGAGTTCAAGCCTCACAACTGACATAAAATAAAGTAATACATGTTTTTGTTTTGTTTAGAAAAAACAACGAAGCCAAGAATGTATGAAATAAGTAAAAACTAGTCCTTTCTTACTTCATGTACCTCTTATGACCTCTCAAAGGTAGTGTTCTCTCAGACATTTTTGTGCATATTCACCTTTGTATAGATTAACTGAAATGTTACTCACAAAATTGATCTTCATTATTTGTGGATTGCATATTTCAAAATTCACTTACTTTCTAAAATTTATTTTTAACTCCCCCCGCAAAAAAAATCAGTATTTTGCAGTCTTTACTAGTCAGCAAGTATTTTCAAGTGCCTATAATATAATGGATGTTCACATTTTTTCCTTTCCCACCCTGAAATGGGTTTTAATCCTACAGAAACAGAAGAACCTTCATGTTCTCTGCCCTACTCTCCCTTCACTCCAGGAGACCCAGATCAGGTGCATTTTGTAATCTCCTTTGCATCTGAAAGACCTTCATTATTGTATTTACTCCAGAACAGCATGGACTGAGATTCAGAGTATTTCTATGCGTCTTGTCCCAGTGGTCAGTTCACAAAAGTGGTTTCTGAACTGCACAGCATCAGACAACCACTTGCCCAAAGGAACAAAGACTTCCTAATGTGGGCCACATTGTGCTCTAGCCAGTTCTATTTTTGAGCTTGGAAGTGTTTGATGACTATTTAATCAGTTTCATTTCTCTTTTCAACAGAACCAGCTGCCTCAATTGTTTTCCCGACTCTTTCCTTTCAAGAGAGGGCTCTGCCATGCATACTGGGCTCCAAACTTCTGGGCTGTTTACAATGCTTTGGACAAAGTGCTGTCCATCATCGGTATGGTAGCAGGTCTTCTCCTAGCCTGTGAATGCTGAAAGGACTGGTCACTGGGAGAAATGGACAGCCTGCTGTGTTTTGAATGTGGCAGAACTGTTTGTTCTGTAGTCTTGAACATCAGTTATCAGGAAGAACAAGGCAGCAGTTTTTGGGGCTGAGGCTTTAAAGCAGTAAACAGACTGCATTCTTCATAAAAGCTCCTTGTGGCAATGAGATGTGGGTCTCTGAGGGGAAAAAAAACTAAATATTTAAACATTTTTAAAGGTAACATCTGCCTAAAGGAAAACATTACTCAGCAGAATTTAACCCACATTTAAGCTTAAATATATGAAGAAGCAAGGAAAGAAGAATGTGTAGTTTGTGACTGTGAGTTTCAAATCAATAAAGTGATATCCCTGCATTTATGCATGAGAGGAACAGAAATAAAATGCCTGAGCTAGGCTTTTTAAGTCTGGCTTTTTAAGTTAAATACAGGCCTTAATCTGGCTCTGCTAACAATAATTCACAATGAAATAGTTTAGTCTGTCATGGTTTTATTTATTTGGGGTTTTTTTTTTTTGGTGGTACTATAATTTGAACTTGCGGCCTCATGCTTGCTGTTTGAGCCCCACCCTCAGCCTCAGCCTCTCATTTGTGAATCTAGCTGAGCATTGTGGGAAAATGCAGGACCAGGAGCCATGGTTAGCAAAGTTTTTCTGTAGTGTATCACATAGTCACATATATAGTATTTTTGTTTTGTTTTGTCCTTTAAAAAATGTGAAAAACTGGTATGATGACCCATGTGTATAGGCCCAACTACTTGAGTAGCTGAAGCAGGAGGATCACTTGAGCCCAAGAATTCAAGAGTAGCCTGGGCAATATAGTGGGCCCTGCTTTAAATAAAAAAAAAAAAAGTAAAAATGTAAAAGTCATTTATATACCTTCACTGCTATGGAAAAATGGCTCTAAAGGCTGGATTTAGCCCTTAGACTATAGATTTGTTGACTTCTAATCTAGATTTTGCAAGACTTGGTGTAAATTGTTGCTGTGCACCTTACCAAGTCATTACATTCCTGTAGTCTTACTTTACTTATTACTGTGGGGAGTCTACTGCTGAAACTGTTCGCACACAGTGTGATATAACGAACAAAAGCAAAAAAAAAAAAAAAATGCTGGATTGTCAGTACCAGAGACTTTGGAGCTAGACATACTCAAGTTCAGTCCTACCACCTATTAGTCATGTGGCTTTCAACAGATTTGCCCATCTGTCTGCCTTACGGAGCTAAAAGTAATGTCTACTCTCGGCACATGGCAGATAGCTCCTATATGGTAGCTGCTATTAACTGTTTGTCATGTACTTACTGGAACTTGTAATTTGGTAGCAACATTGTCACTCACTGTGAATCCAGCCTTAATATACAAGGTGCTCTTGAAAGGTAATTTCGAACAATGTATTTCAAAAAAGCTTTGAACAGCCAGCTTGAGCCAGATTGAGATCCAGGGCTGAAACTGCTATGAGAAACTGCTATGCCTCCCCTGGAGTACCTACTTATAAAGCACAAGCAACTGTGTTTCAAAGAAATAGTTGTTAGCTTTAAAAGAAAATCAAAAGCTGAAGGGAAAGGGAAAGGAGTAAATAAGTAGAAAATACTTTGATAGTCTTCATCTTTCCTACACTGCACTGACTTTGAATGGCATTAGTCACAATTGCATAGGTGCTTAGGCTGAGACTATCCTGTTGCTCTGGAGCTTTTTGGGATAGAGCTAGACTTAGATCATTTGATAAGAATTTATTGAGTTCCCATGTCTGGAGATAGAAATGAATTCATCATTTGTCTCTAAGACACATGAAAGGAAATGAGTACATAAAAACAGTGTGCAGTGAACACTAAAATACAGAGCTCACAAGAAACTCAGCTTTCTCGGTGAGTAAAGAAGGAGTTATTTTGGCAAAATGAGGTCATTTTAAGCAAAGCCTTAGAAAGAGACATAGTGTTAAGTTATGTGTTGGGGATACAGTTAGTTTCATTATGGCCAGGCCACACTTAACACTGTAGAGTTGAGGCTGGAGAGGTAAGAAGGGACTAGATCATGGAAGACTTGATAAGCCAAACCCTGTAGGCTGCACAGATTCTCCATTCTAGTCATAACTTACAACTGATTATAATTGTAAAAGCCACATTCTGGAAGAGGTAGGATAGTACAGATGAGTTCATAAAAGCTTGGTTTGAACAGCAATAAGATTTACTCATTTTTTTCAAGGAATTGACTAACAAAATGTGGAGTTCCATTAATAAAAATAAAGCAAAATACAATGTCTACTTTCTGTGTAGGTTTGGAATTGAATCTTCTCAACCCCAATAAGATCCCCAAGGCCTCAATGACTAGTGGCTTGGTTCAGCAGTTTCAGCACACGGTCCTGCCCTCAGTCACACCCTTGGCAACCCTCATCTGCACCCTGATTGCCATGCTGGTAAGACCTCAGCAAGTGGTACTCATTTCTCCAGTGTGTTTCTCTGCTTTGCTTACTTCCTGGCTGATTGAATTTCACCTTTCAGGCTTTTCCAACTTCAGGATAAATTCCATGGCTGAAATCCTACAGACTGAAATATTGCCTAGCAATTCTTTTTTTTTTTTTGGGGGGGGGTCCAGTCCGTGGGGCCTGAACTCTGGGCCTGGGCGCTGTCCCTCAGCTCTTCAGCTCAAGGATAGCATTCTACCACTTGAGCCACAATGCCACCTCCAGCTTTTTTCTTTTTGCTTATATGGTGCTGAGGAATCGAACCCAGAGCCTCAGGCATGCAAGGCAAGCACTCTATCACTGAGCAACCTTCCCAGCCCTGCCTAGCAATTCTTAAAAGGAACTTCGAACACAGTAAAGAATTATCATAAAGCCTCTCTGTCAGAGATTCTTGCCACTGGTTATGAGACCATCTGTCTATTCTGGCATGGGGAGGCCAGGGAGGAGGAGGTATAGACCACATGGTTGAGAAAAAGGAAATCTTTATGGCAGGAATATCTATACTTTGTTTTGTTTGTCAGCCTTGGCAAAATGATCAGAATACATCTGGCTGGTGCATGGATATTATGTCTTAATGAACTAAGAGTTGGCTGTGGCTCTATGCACATCAGTCTACTGTGGGTCGGATGTGTTACAACTTTCATTCACAGTGCATGGATAGAATTTTAATAAGAGTCATTGTAAAAAGCTCAGCCCTGTTGATAGTTGATGCAGTTTTAATTTTTGCTTCCAAATGATTGAACCTACTAGCAAAGATATCTGACTTAATTATGTGGCAGAACTGTAGGTAACTAAGCTCATATTTTAACCAAGGCAGATGTGTTTTTTTGTTTTTGTTTTTGTTTTTCTCAAAATCTCAAACCATAAGCTTTATACAAAAGGTAATAGTTTTACTGTAAATCACACTGAAGCTCACAGAACCAGGTACATTTTTATTAATAGTGTAAAATCTAATTTACTAGTCCATAAATGTGTGAACTTGGGTAGTTTGACTTAAGAGGTTCAGTAAGTATCAATTAATAATATGGTGACTAATGATAAATCTGTCATAAATTGTTATATTGTATATCCCAGAACTTATCATTTCAACTTATTTAATAACTGGGATTGATTGTAGTAAGTTAGATTCATGCTTCTAAATACCTGCTTTTCCCTTTAAAAGTTAGTTAACTTTCAATGGACTGTGCACAAAGGGATAAATTACCCAGTTCAATGAAGCAGTGTCTAGAATCTCCTGCTTTTCAGAGATGATGCAAATTGTACTTTCCTAAATACTTTCTTATAAAGCCAACTTGAAATGATACTGAAATTTTATCTTTGCCTATTGTTTCTAGCCCTCTATTTTCTGTCTTTGGTTTAAACCCCAAGGGCCCAGAGGCTTCCTTAGATGCCTAATTCTCTGTGCCTTGAGCTCCTTCATGTTTGGGTGGCATGTCCATGAAAAAGCGATTCTCCTTGCAGTTCTCCCAATGAGGTAAGCTCATAACTTGGCAATCAGCATTGCTGACCAATTTCACTGTTTTCCAACTGCTCTGCTTCTCTCTTATCTTGTTCAGTGGGATTAGATAGGCAAAGGCAAAGGACAGATTTCCAATAGGACAGGACAGCAATGTTTAACTTAGGCCCATGAAGGTTCCTAGGGGTGAGGAATGTCTATCCAGAGAACCATATAAAGGCCACAAAATCATTTGGTACATGACAAGATAGATACATTATACTTCTTGTGGGCTGCCTACATCCATCTGCATATATTGAATTTTGTGTGGTTTTAGAATGATGTTATAAATATCCAAATGGCTGATGGCGGGGGGAAGGTTGTCCTTCCTGTAAAGTATGTAAAAATGCATGTGCTTTTTGTATTAGATTAGCATGATAGGTCTGGATAGTGAGTGCAGCATCATTTGGAAAGCATGAACTTTGGCATTACTACATCTGTGAAAATAAAGTTCCATGGTTTCTTATTAATTGTCAGTCAAGTAAGGTCTGACTCCATTCTGGAATAATTCTGTAACATTTATACTGCACCATAGATTTTCCAGAACTGTTTTGTTTTTGTTTTCTTTTGAGCCTCAACAATCTTTAAGGTACTTAGCATACATTTGTATCATTCCTATCTGAGCATCAGCAGGTACTCTGGCTTGGAGAGTTCATGACTGATCCAAAGTAACACTGTTAAGCCAGACATGGCAACATAGGCCTATGTGTAGACACCTGTGTAATAGATGCCATCTGGGGCTGTTGCTTAGTGGAAGAACACTTGCCTTGCATGAGGCCTTGGATTCCAGTCTAGAATCACAGAAAAAATAAAGCATGCACTTTTCTATGCCTAGCAAAAACACTCCCAAGCTTGGCATAGCAGTATACACCTGTAATCTCAGCACTAGAGAGTTAGAGTCAGGAAGATAGAGATGGTAGATAACCTGGGCTACACAGCAATACAAAACAAAACAAAGTCACACAACTAGCAAATAGCACTCAGCGCTTAGCCTGGTCTTTTGATGCTAAATTTTGTGGTGTTTTCACTCTGCTATTCTAGGGTGGGGGAGAGAGGGAAAAGGCATTGTAAATGCAGTGCTCATAATTGGAACTCAGTAGATAGATGGTAATGGAATCAGCCTTTTTTCTGGAAGTTTGTCTCAAAGCTTAAGGAATCACGTAAGCTCTAAAAAAACAGTAAGCAAAATGTTCAGGTCAGTCCCTGTTTCTCTGGGTTTATTTAGCAACATGGAATTTCCAAATAAAAGGAGAGCAGAGGTTTTAATATCTTTGTGTGTGTGTGAGAGAGAGAGAGAAGAGAAAGAGAAAGAGAGAGTGTTGTGGGGCTTGAACTCTGGGTCTGGGCACTGTCCCTCAGTTCTTCAGCTCAATGCAGCTCTCTACCACTTGAGCCACAGCACCACTTCTGGTTTTCTGGTAGTTATTGGAGATAAGAGTCTCAGGGACTTTCCTTGCCCAAGCTGGCTTTCAACAGTGATCCTCAGATCTCAGCCTCCTGAATAGCTAGGATTATATGCATGAGCTATCAGTGCCCGGCAGTTTTTAATATCTTTAGTCAGAACATCATACAGGTGCAGGGCTTTGTGTACAAGACAAACTACAGGTTTGGGAATGAATTTGAGTCCTGTTTTCCTGAATGCTCCCTCCAGGCACCTCCCAGCCCCACAACATCCCTTTTTTTTGGAGAAGGCAATTAGTCAGGAAAGTGAGCTGCACTGTTTGTATTCCCAGATTCAACATGGTACAATATTATCAATTGCTTACCAAATAGATATTTTCAATCGAACTGGACTTGTAGCAGAATCAATATTTATTTTATGCATAAGCCAGTTCTAAGAGTAATAATAGATGCTGTATTCAAGCTTTTTGCAAGTGTAGTTTAAGTTGCTTTAAGAAATTATGATAAGCCAGGCACTGGTGGCTCATGCCTGTAATCGTAGCTACTCAGGAGGCTGAGATCTGAGGATCGCAGTTCAAAGCCAGCCCACTCTCCAATTAACCACCAGAAAACCCAAAGTGGCTGTGTGACTCAAGTGGTAGGGCTCTAGCCTTGAGCTGAAGAGTGCAGGGACAGTGCACAAGCCCAGAGTACAAGCTCCAAGTTCAAGCCTCATGACTGACAAAAAAAAGAAATTATCATTAAAAAATTTTATTTTTAGCCTCTTGTCCGTGGAAAAAGCAGGAGATGCTTCAATTTTTTTGATTCTGACCACAACAGGACATTACTCCCTCTTCCCTCTGCTCTTCACTGCACCAGGTAAGCAGCTTCTTTTGACTTTTGACTAGCATTCCCTTTTCACCCAGGGCTACACATTAGGACTCTCTGACTTAACCAATCAACACTGTAATCTCTCAAAAGGAGAAAGCTCATGTGTTCTCTCATTTTGCCCCTAATTTTAAGTATACTTAGATGTCACAAAAAAGTGTGGTCAAGTTCATTAATTTGACATATTACTGTGTCAGTGTGCTTATATTGCCTTAATTATTAGAGACCTTTTATCTGTCAACTAAACTATCATCTGTATTTTCTTTTGACAGAGCTTCCCATTAAAATCTTACTCATGGTACTGTTCACCATTTACAGTGTTTATTCACTGAAGACACTATTCAGGTAATTAAAAAAGTAAATTTAAAGTTACATTTACTCTTGTAAAATACTCCGTTAAGAGTTAGATAAGCCTTTGAAGTTTTGTTTCACATTATAACAACAGTATAACATTACCTTTTTTAAAAAATTGCTAAATGCAGCAGTAATACTCATTAGACACTATGTTGAAAATGAACTGTACAACTTGTGGGTCAGGATGGGAGAGAAAAACTCATAGAGTTAGGGAAGGGGTGACATTGTCCAAAGTAAATGTACTCTTCACCTGATTTATATAACTGTAATCTCCCTGTACATCTCCTTTTAGTAACAATAAAAGAATTAAATAAAAATAATTATTTAATTTTTTTGTTAAATTTGCTAAGTGGAAGGCTAAATTACCCATATAATATATTTATCAGGACAGCACTGATTGTATCTTTAGTTTGGGGGGGAGTACTGGAGAAAGACCTCTTTGAAAGCCAGGTGTCGGTGACACATAGATGCTTTGGGAAGCACAGACAGGAAGATGAAGAGTTTAAGACCAGCATAGACTACATAGTGAGAGCCTGTCTCAAAAAATATATATATATAATATAATATGAAAATTAAAACCGGAATGTGAAGTATGCATTATAGGTAAAATTACAAAATACAGAAAAAATGGAAAAAACTAAAATTATTAAAAATTATTACAGAATTATGAGAATAAGTTTTTGCTTTTCTAACTAATATTAGGACTATATTTTTTTTCTTTTACTGGGGCTTGAACTCTTGGTTACCTTTTTCGCTCAATGATGGCACTACCAATCGAGCCACAACTCCACTTTTGGCTTTTTGCTGGTAAACTGGAGATAAGAGTCTCATGGGGCTGGGGGCTGGTAACTCCCCCCTATAATTCTAGCTACTCAGGAGGTTGTGATCTGAGGATCATGGTTTGAAACAAAAAACTTCATGACAGAAAATTCCATGAGACTTTTAATTCCTACTCAAGAAGCTGAGATTGGATGATTATAGTTTAAAGCCAGCCAGGGCAGGAAAGTCTGAAACTCCATCTCTAAAATATCCAGCAAAAAACCAGGCTGGAGGCATTGCTAAAGTTGTAGAACCACCCAAGCAAGCACAAAGCTCTGTGTTTAAACTTTAGTATTGGCCAAAGAAATGTTAAACTATTGGGGCTGAGACTATGGCTTAGTGGTAGAGTGCTGGCCTAACATGCATGAAGCCCTGGGTTCGATTCCTCCATACCACATAAATAGAAAAGGCCAGAAGTGGCACTGTGGCTCAAGTGGTAGAGTGCTAGCCTTGAGCAAAAGAAGCTCAGGGTCAGTGCCCAGGCCCTAAGTTCAGGTCTGGCAAAAAAAAAAAAAAGGTTAAACTATTATTGATGTATGCTTACAAAAATATTTTAAAAATAAAATATAAAGTAGTAAATTTTGTGTTATTTATACTTTACCAAATTTAAAAATGACTTTGAATCCTCAATTATGTACATATGGTCTTAGCTACTATGCTAGCTAGCACCCAGTCCCTTTCTCTATTCCATATGCAGGGCTAATTTTGTGTGAGTAGATTCAGCTAAGTGATACCATATGTAGATGCCTGGGAAAATTTGGATTGCCAAGGTACTATAATAGATCATTAGTATTTTTGCTACTTGTGAGGTTTGTTCAGTCTTCTGACTCCAGCCTTGGCTGCAGTTCACATCACAATGTGGCAATGGGAAGCTTTAGCTGGGGAGTATTTACTAAACCAAAATGGCTTATCTAAAACCAGCCCTTTTCTCTTTTCCTTCAGAAAAGAAAAAGCTCTCTTAAACTGGACTGAAACTTTGTACCTCCTTGGCCTAGTGCCGCTGGAAGTCTGTTGTGAATTCCTGTTCCCTTTTACCTCTTGGAAGCTGAGGTATCCTTTTATCCCTTTGTTAATGACCTCAGGATACTGTGCAGTGGGCATCACATACGCATGGTTTAGGCTGTACTGCTCAGTGTTGATTGGCCCTTTCATCGGCAAGACAAAGAAGCACTAAATAAAGGAACTGCTTGGATGTACGCCAAGCAATTACTTCATGGGAAATTAATCAGAACCTGAAGAAAGTTGCCAGTGGCATGAGCCACTCATTTCAGTAGATCTGTTCAGAGGACCATTTTTCCACATTTGGCCTTGCCCAGCCTAGCAACCTGATTGTTGCCATGGTGAGAAGCCATTTGCCCTCTACACACACTGGAATACGTCTGAAAACAACTTCACCTTTCCTTGTGAAAGTTCTCTGAGATCATTCAGACTGTCGAGCTCACTGAAGGCACATGGAATCTGATTAGCAGCATAATTGTTCGTAGCCTACGCTGATATGTCACGATATGTATCAGCAATGTCAGGATATAAAGCTTAATTAGATTCCAATACTGAGAGAAATATTTCCTCTGTTCAGAGAGAAATGTAAATAAAATGCCATTTTGTATTTCTGCACAAAATACTTATGGATCATTATCAGCTCCTACATTTTCCTATTGGAGTGTGTGCTGGCAGATGGTGTGCTGGCCCCCGGTCTGTACACCTTGTTCCAGGAAGGTTTGTTTGTTTCCATTGAAATGATAATAATCATCAACAAAGCCAGGGGGAATATTTAATGCACTGTTTGGGCCAAGCAACAGAGACTTCAAACCACAACTGTTCTTACATTGAGTTAAGGACATCTTGTTCAGCCTCATTTATTCTAACAGCAAGCATTGCAAGTTTGGATAAGGCTGCCATTAAAACTTCCTCCTATGAGCAAATGACATGGTTTTTGCAGATTTGTTTTCCCTCCCTTCCTTGAGAGTACTTTATGCATTTTTTTACCTCAGTTTACCTAATGCCTGCTGTGTGTTCAAAAGACAGTATATTTCCGGGCTGGGAAGGTGGCTCAGTGGTAGAGTGCTGTCTTGCATGCATGAGGCCCTGGGTTCGATTCCTCAGCACCATATAAGCAGAAAAAGCTGGAAGTGGCGCTGTGGCTCAAGTGGTAGCGCTAGCCTTGAGCTGAAGAGCTGAGGGACAGCGCCCAGGCCCAGAGTTCAGGCCCCACAGCCAAAAGAAAAAAAAAAAGCCAATATATTTCTGGCCACATTTTATTTACTCTTCCCCTAAGAAGAGGCAGTTCAAGGTCCATGGCATTCTGGATGCTAATCTGGCTATTGCATCTTTTGCTAGGGGCATGGCTCAAGTGGTAGAGAACCTAAGTTCAAACCCCAGTTACCCCATGTCAAAAACGCCCACACTTATCCCATCTCAAAAATCAAGTTGTTTCTTGCACAGGTAAATATGGGAATCTGACAAAAGGAAAGGGAAGTATGCCTCCTCTAGTCCCTCACGTCTCCTCTGCATCCTGTGCTCAGGTCACAGCATGGGAGGGAGTGCCATTTCCTCCAAGTGAAGGTAGCACTGCATAGTAACTGAGAGTCAGCCTGGCTGGAATCTGTAGGCAAATTATCTTAGCAACCTTTACCTCAGTGTCCTTAATGTCTCAAATGAATATGTAAAAGATTTAGAACCTTGCTACCTGAAACTGCTTATATTCAGCATATGGAGGTTGCTATTTATAGGCATTCTTCCATCTCCCTTTCTTTTTCCCTCCCTTGAAATTTTGCACCCCACCACATGTACATTCCTACGGCCATAAACAGCTGTAACACGAAAATGGACTATGTATTTGTTTTCCTCAGAAGATCACACTTACCTCGAGAAGTCCTGTCTTTGACATAGTTGAGTAAGTGAAGCACTCCACCCAGGCCTTGATTAAAATCCAGTTGTTAGCTAGGGGCGTGGCTCAAGGCTACAGTGCCTATCTAGCAATTGTAGTTCTCTGAGTTCAAAACCCAATACCAACAAAAATAAGCATTAAAAATGCAAGTGTTTGGGCTTGGAAGGTGGCTCAGTGGTAGAGTGCTTGCTTTGCATGCATGAGGCCTTGTGTTCGATTCCTCAGTACCACATAAAGCAGGAAAAGCCAGAAGTGGTGCTGTGGCTCAAGTGGTAGAGCGCTAGCCTTGAGCTGAAAAGCTGAGGGACAGCACCCAGGCCCAGAGTTCAGGCCCCACAACCGGACCCCCCCCAAAAAAATGCAAGTGTTACTGGTACAGAATGGTAACACAGGAAGTGGTGCTGTAGCTCAAGTGGTAGAGTGCTCGCCTTGAGCTGAAGAGTTGAGGAACAGCACCCAGGCCCAGAGTTCAAGCCCCACAGCCGACAAAAAAACAAAACAAAACACACAGAATGCTAAAACGGGCTGGGAAGTTGGCTCAGTGGTAGAGCGCTTGCCTTGCATGCCTGAGGCCCTGGGTTCGATTCCTCAGCACCACATAAGCAAAAAGAAAAGCCAGAAGTGGCGCTGTGACTCAAGTGGTAGAGCGCTATCCTTGAGCTGAAGAGCTGAGGGACAGCGCCCAGGCCCAGAGTTCGGGCCCCACGCCCGGACCCAAAAAAAAAAAAAAAGAATGCTAACACAAAGAACTCTATGTAGGGGGCTGGGAAGGTGGCTCAGTGGTAGAGCACTTGCCTTGCATGCTCAAGGCCCTGGGTTCGATTCCTCAGCACCACATAAGAAAAAAGCCGGAAGTGGCACTGTGGCTCAAATGGTAGAGTGCTAGCCTTGAGCTGAAGAGCTGAGGGACAGCGCCCAGGCCCAGAGTTCAGGCCCCATGACCGGACCAAAAAAAAAAAAACAAAGAACTCTGTGTAGTTCTTCGTGTTTGTCAGTTGTGACAAGCCAAAAAATTTAATATGCATTTCAGTATGACCAAACTTGATTACATTTTGCAGGCTGTTACTGTGAAAGTGACAATGGCAAAAGTGGAAGTGCTCAGAATGCTACAGAATGTTCTGTAGTACTCTCAAAGTTTTTCAGAGTTTCCCTAAAGGCTCTGGGTTCTGCCCACTTTCCGCCAAAGCAAATACGCTTTGATATATTTCACATATTAGACCTCATTTGTGTTTCTTTGGGGTTTTTTTGTTTTATGGGCTTCTTTATTGGTTGGTCGTGGGACTTGAACTCTGGGCTTGGGTGCTGTCCCTGCGCTCTACAGCTCAAAGCAAGTCTCTACTGCTTGAGCCACAGAACCACTTCCAGTTTTCTAGTGGTTTATTGGAGATAAGAGTCTCACGGACTTTCCTGCCTGGGCTGGCTTTGAACCATGATCCTCAGATCTCAGCCTTCTGAGTAGCTAGGATTACAGGTGTGAGCCACTAGTGCCTAGCTATTTGTGTTTCTTTGACTTCAGGTCAAAGTCCAATATATGTCCAGAAGGAAAATGATTCCAGAGACTGAGAGATATCGCATTGATGCCAACACTTAAGTAGATCCCGGACTTCTGGCCTGATACCCAGTTTTCTACTCTATATTTTTTAAGGTTTACAGAGCTGTGGGTGGTTGTCAACAAATTTTAGAAGATAAAACTAGTTGGAAGTGTTACTTCAAAATATTTTGAAATCTAGAATTAAGCAGTCAAAAACAAGATTAAGGCTTGGCACAGTGACTAATGATGGTAGTCCCAGCTATTCAGGAGACAGAGATTCCAAAGATGACAGTTTGAGGCCAGTTCTTGTAAAGAGTTAGATCCTTTCTTAACAAATAAGTAGGGTGTGATGACACACACTGTAATCCTTGCTGGGTGGGAATAGGTAAGAGGATTGCAGTCTAGGCTAGCATGGGCAAAAATGCAATACTCTGGGGCTGGGAAGGTGGCTCAGTGGTAGAGCGCTTGCCTTGCATGCATGAGGCCTTGGATTCCATTCCCCAGCACCACATAAACAAAAAGAAAAAAAGCCGGAAGTGGCGCTGTGGCTCAAGTGGTAGAGTGCTAGCCTTGAGCTGAAGAGCCGAGGGATAGCGCCCAGGCCCAGAGTTCAGGCCCCACGACTGTACCCTCCCCCCCCAAAAAAAAATGCAATACTCTGTCTGAAAAAACTAAAGCAGAAAGGGCTGGTGTTGGATCTAGTGATAAAACTCCAGTACTGCAAAAAAAGAAAAAATATTAACAAAATTTAAAGATGCATAACCCATTTCTTACCTGTCTAATATTTTGAGAAAGAAAGGTGAATCCGACTTGTTCTTGTTCACTGTTTCTTTCCCCAGGAGGAGTAAACGTATTGCTGGTGGGATGGTTTTTCTTATGAATGACTTGAACCAGGAGACTGAAAGACGCACTTAAATAAGGGATCTACACCCTCTACAATCCATGCAGCTTCTGTTTGCAGTTAATGGGAGGGAAAAAAATTCCATTAAAATATGACCTTTTGTTCTTCAGTAGTCCATGGAATTATACTTACTGCATGATAGTAAAAAAAAAATGTTTTAACTCATCTATCCCTTTGTGCTCTAAAAAGTCAGACTTTTGTGCTAATGGCAGCTAAGAATGATTTTCTAAGCCTCAAAAACTTGAATCAATACAGCCATTAGTTTCTCTCATAGAAGTCTCATATACACCATCTCTATTTTGCAGAAAGGTTGATAACAGTGCTAGGGTGTTTGTTTTTTTTTTCCAAACTCAAGACTCAAAAATAAAAATAATATGTTTATCCAGGTACTGGTGGCTCATGCCACCAGGAGGCTTAGATCTGAGAATCACAGTTCAAAGCCAGCCCTGGCAGGGAAGTCCATAAATTTTTTTTTTGGGGGGGGGTCCGGTCGTGGGGCCTGAACTCTGGGCCTGGGCTCTGTCCCTCAGCTCTTCACTCAAGGCTAGCGCTGTACTACTTGAGCCACAGCACCACT